TTCCTTTGTATCTCGGTAGTCGACGCATTCCCTTGGACATTTTCATTCTTTGTGCTGGCGAGGTTTCAATTAATTGGGCGATCGTGATATTCGCTTTAGCATTCGTTAAGTCGTCAAGAATATTGTAAGGAACGGCTCGAGAAGCCAATATTGGTAGCTCAGCTTTTCCTTTTCTTTTTTTCTTTTTGTCTATCGGTGCAATTTCTTCGGTTTTCTTGGGTGGCTTAGATTCGACAGGTCGGGAGGTATCGTCTACAGTATCTTCTGACTGATTCTTTCGAGCCCGTTTGCGTCCTTCAAGGTATTCGTGCATTGCAAGGAGAGTCGAACTGGATTGGTCAGCTGACGGTGTAGTTGTTGTGGTCGACATTGCTTGTAGAGCAGCAATAATCGGTTGCATTTGTGTCAGGAGAGCGGTATTACTGTCCGTAGTCGTAGCATTGTTGCTTGTGGTCTGTGTAGGGACGGAATTCGCAGTCACATTGGAATTGTCATTTTGAATGGTATTCCAATTTGTCCACGAAGGCTGGCTCTGTCGAAAGTTTGATCCTTGACTGTTTATACCAAGCGGGTTTGAGCAGTATCGTTGGATGTGTCCAGTTTGTCCGCAGCGGTAGAATTTTAAGGGTCCCTGGGGTCTTGGCTGACTCTGAGCTGGATCGTTGCTTCTTGGTGGATAATATCCCTTCCTGTCGTTTTTCATGCGGTTGAGTCGGCCACTAAGATCCTGGAGCATTTGGGTAATAGTGATTAGATCTACGGCCGTGGTTACTTGCGTCTGGTGGTAGGGCTGTTTTGGTGATTCTGAGTCTGCTTCTTCCACTGTCCTGGCCACTTCAATTATGTTGTCCAGCATTCCATCGGAGTTTATAGTAACCCACTTCCTAATTTCTGGCTTAAGTCCTCTTTTGTAGGTCCTTGTTTTGTAATCGGCCGGGTAATCGCCATCGGGGTCAATCTTTTTTAATAATTGGACGAACTGATTGGTGTATTCTTCAATGATTCCTTCTTGCTTCAGAGTTTCGAGTTCGTCTTGCCACTGTTCTATCTTCCGGTGGGTCCGAAATTTTAACGTGAATTGGTGTTTGAAATCGTGTTTGTCCTGCTGTTGATTTGTCCAGTCATTTAATTGGGAATTGTCATTGGTATACCTTTGGTCGAACCAAGTGACTGCAGTTCCTTCGAGATAGCCCCGTACGATTTGGATTTTTCGTTCGTTGGTGATTCCGTTGGCTCGAGCAGCGATTTCGAAATCTCGGAGCCATTCGACTGGATCTTGGTTTTCACCTCGGAATTTTCGTATTGGTATAAGAATTTTTTCAGGTCTTTGGACGAGGCCAGCATTTATGGCATCACTAAGGTGAGTTAAAGCTTCTATTAAATTATTTATTTCAGCCATTTCGTTGGTCTTTTTATATAATGGAGTTTCCCTATAGTTTTCGTTGATCCCTTCGTTTGATGTCTCGGAGTCTGTGGTGTTTTCGTCGAGGAATTCTCGTAGGATTATTCGTTCTTCGTTAGCTTGTTCCGTTGTTGGTCTCCGAGTCCTTACGATTTACGGTTGATTTCCACAGAGGGGGCACCAAAATGTTACAGGTTAATGACCGATTATAGGAATTAGCTGCTAATTTGTAACTTGGGTGGGAGAAACGAATTAAACTCAAGTTATTTTATTTATTAGTTTTCCAAGGTTCTGTGCCAATATCTTCGGATATTGTTTGTGTTCAATTATCGGTTTGGTTTCGTTTACGTGTTTCACGAATGTTAACAATGCGTTCACTTTTTCTGGACCAAAAGCGTAAACCCTTAAATCGTAGTCGTCAAAACAATTATCTCA